AGATGACTTTCTTAGTGAATTATGGCCTCCAGTTAGTGAGAACAACCAGCACAAGAGTAGAATTAAGGAGGAGAAAAAACCCAAAACTTCTTCAGGGAAACCAGTCAAATTGAACAACACTGCAGATGCTCATTTGGAAGTGGGTGGCGAGGGCATCAAGAAGTTACTGACAGTACCAGACCAAGGTATGTATAAAAGTAGAGTATCTGTGTGTGTGTGTGTGTCAGAGAGAGAGACAGTAGGAGCAGTCAGAGATATGTATCCATTTAATCTGTATAGACTGTGTGTTACTGCTGTGCAGTCCAGCTGATTGTGCTTTGCTTTAGCGTACTGCTAAAGTGTTATACCCTCAGTAAACCATATTGGCTCTTTGCACATTGTATGCCACTGACTTCAGTAAGAGATATTGATGCATGCAGTATATGTGTTAAACTGTTTGTGTTTATATGCCACTGCTGTTTCTCAGATTGCAGTCTTGTAGCTCTTGCCCTAGTGTACTTACATGCTTATTTCAAGCTTTTTTTTTTCTTTATTAGTATTTAAGTAATCGTCATGAGTGAATGTGAGTTTACCATTGTCCTGCTTTTGAGTATGTTATGTATAAACATTTATTCCAGAATTATAGTCAAAAGAAGGAACTTAAGTTTGGTATATGAATGGTGGTCTGTGCTTGGCTATGACCCTAGATTTTATACTTGTAAAACATTTCACTTCATGAGCTGGCATAGCTCAGTCAGTATAGTGACTGGCTGCGGACTGGACGACTGGGGTTCGATCCCCGACGGGGTCAGAGGATTTTTCCTCTAGACTCTGCGTCCAGACCGGCTCTGGGGCCCACCCAGCCTCATATCCAATGTGTACCGGGGTCCTATCCCGGGGGTAAAGCGCGGCCGGGGCGTGATGCTGACCACTCACCTTCATTTAATGCCGAGGTCAAGAATGAGTAGGAGCTTTACCTCCTCTCCCCCCAAGTGCCTACATGGCTCATAGTGGGACAGCTTTTTTTTTAAAAACATTTCACTTCACTACTTAGAGTGAAAGCTTATTCATCTTTTGTGTGTCAAAGCGTTTCATGTTGCCACCTAAGGCTTTCCATAATATCATTATAATATATGAAATTCTGATACCTGGAGAGCCGTATTAGACTGTGAAATTCTGTATTAATTTGGTTTTACAACAGTTTTTTAAAATATTACATTTAAATAATATAATATATAAATGTCTCCTAGCTGCACAGTGAGGTTTCTTTTAAATATTCTGAGGTATCGGAGGATTAAAGTCTGACCAGCACAGGAAGTGTTTGTCTGTTACAAGTGCTCATCAAGAGACAAAGCAGTTGAAGTTATGTTTACAATCTGAAGCAGTGCATCAGCTGCTGCAATGAGATATGGCTTCAAGAATCCAATATTACCATTTATTTTGTTGTTTTGTGCATGAAGGGTTTCATGTATAGTAGTAAGGGTTGCATTTTATATGGAGACATTATATAACCACAAAAGTGAATGCAACATTGTACAGTAATGGAATATCCAACTAAGACATTGTAATCTATGACTGCATACTTTTCTCTTATGAAATCAAGTTAGAGTCAGTGACATCATTTTAGGAACTGCTTTTAGTCATATAGAAGAGTTGTGTAATGTCGGAACTTTATTAAATTTGTGTTTATGTCTTTATTTGTGTGTGATTTTACAGAAATGATAATTTTGAAATGACATTTGAAACCATAAAATCCTGCAGTAAGAACAGTTTCTGCTCTCTATTGTTCTCATTCTATTCATTCAGCAGACTTTCTCTTACACTTCCACAATATATGTCTCTGGATTAAGTGATGTCCTGGGAATACATTTATGTAGTCTCCAGAATACTGCATTTTCTTGTCCCCTTTGTTTGCATTTTATTTATTTATTTATTTATTTATTAGGCATAACAAAGATAATCATTAACTGTTTTGATGCCAAATTTCTAAATTTGTGTATTGATACAACTTTTCTAACCAAATTCGAATTTGAAATTTAGGAAGATGATTAAAGCAATACCATGAAACCATGATGATGATGAATACTTGAAAAAAGATTCTATTAGCATGTTTACTGAATTCATCTGGATCTTGATAGTGACATGGTAATGAACCTTCAAGTTCCGTAAAATGTTGCTAATTTCTTGACTAGCTGATCAGGTATAATGTTCTCAAGGAAGATTCTACTCTATTGAGCTACTTGGCGTTTCACAGGCTTAACATTTTTAAGAAAGAGACTTTACTTTGTTGGATGAAAATAAATGTTCATCCTATTCTCTTTATATGTTCTTGACAAATAACTGAATAGCATTGAAAGCCACTAAAATAAGTCCAGATGGGTGCAATTAAGTGCATCAAATTCGAAGTGGCACATTTTACATGAACATTATTATTTTAAAAACATGTTATCCATTCTTTTCCATATCAAATCCCAAAACTTTTTCTATAAATTTTAGAATAGTCTTTTTTTATGCATTTTTCCTTTATATTCTTACCACTGTTGGTTGTTAATGTGCTTCACTTTTAAATGTTTGCTTATTGTAGTCTTGAAGGAAGATGCATCATTTCACACATCTGGCAGACTGCCCAACACATGGGGAGAAATGCTGTTGTAAGTTAGGGCCAATTAAAATATTACACTTTCTGACACTCCATTTAATTCTTTCTGTGAACATTTATACATGGTATCATGAAAAATTATGGGCATTAGGTATAATAGTTTTCAAAATTTATATGAAATCAAAACTGTCTTTGAAGTGAGTTTTTTGTACCTATATTTAGCAAGCGGAGTTTAAAATAGCCAGCCTGGGGACAGTGTGAAACAAGCAAGGGACATGAATTGCTCCACATGAGAGCTGCAAATACTCTTTGCCATGTGGATTCTGTAAGTTCTTCAAAGTTTGTTGTTGTTGGCCATATAAATGTGATCAGATTTTCAGATACCATGTGCTTCATTATTTTACAGAAGTCTTTAATTGAATGTAAGTGGTCTTTTTGTGGTACAGAGACAGTGAGTGTAGGTAGTTAAGTATTTAAATGTGTGTGATTGGTTGTTGTTTGAGTTTAGCAATAAAAAGAAATTGATGTATTACAGGAGTTCATATTCATTCTCACCTGTTTAACTAAACAGATTTAAGTGAGGGAGTACAATTTTTTGTAAAACTTTGTTATGTTGCCATGCATTTTATGCATTCAAAATCAGATTGTGTTATGCTGTAAAATATGATCAGCCAGTGACATGGTACAGTGCTGTGTGGTGTATGGTTAGCATGCCTGATTTGTTGAATCTTGTGGAGGTCCATGTTTCAAATATGGGCTGGGAGAGTAAGGTATTTTTGTCGTTTTCCTAGTTGTCACTCCAAGCACATGTTGAAATAGTGCCTTAAAATACACAGTTGCTTTCCATTCTTCCATGATTCTTATCGTTCATAATTATCTTTTAATTTATTTTATGCTGTTGATACCTTGTCATAATATGATTTTGAAAAATCTCCGAACTTCTGAAAAGAAATTGAAATTGATTATTGCTTCTGTTTGTTATGCAACTTAATTGAGATAATTTTCAGTTATGATGCACAGTACATGTTGATATGCCATGTCTCATTCAATAAGCATTAAGCAAAATGTGAACTGTGTGTTCTTATGTTGTTACTTTCTCTACTGCAATAATTCTTAGAACTAAATTATGACATTCTCTCAAGACGATATTACAGTAGCTGTGAGGTGAACCGTAATCATAAATAATATGGGAATGCTAATATTAGATGTATTGCAGATTTGGTGTAAGGACAAAAGTAAAGATTAAGATTACTGTTTTCTGGGATGTTGTGCCATGTAGTCTGGTAGCAGTATGATTGTTGCCTCCATCACCAGGGCAAATGCCTCTGAAACATCAGTAAACTTCTACCAGACTACGCACTGCAATAACCCACTTGACACTGAAAACCTCAAGTCTCACAGGAGTAAAGATGTTATGAAATATTATTTCAAAACTTCTCATATAAATAGAGAAGATGGTTTGTTATCAAGTGCAGTGTAGGATATTATAAAGGGACTGAAATGGATTATCTTTCTTTATATAAATTACAGGTCATCATAAGTACCAGTATAAAAATGTATGTGTACTCTCAGTTACAGCAGAAGAATGTAGATCAGTAGGTATGTTTAGGAGACTTTTTTCTCAACAGTGATAATGTTAGGAATGTCATTCTTCAATTTTAAGTTATTTTATTTAATCCATCACGTCTGTTTTAGTGTATTAATTTTATTTGTGATCATAGCAAACTGTAATTGAAATTACCCTCAACGTTTGAAGACAGAAACATTGCTCTCACTGATCACAGTGGTTGCGCTGTCTAAGCTTGTACTTGGGCTGCTTGAACACAATTTTTATGAATTCCACTTGGGTGATGGATGTTTGTTCATGTCTTCCTGTCTTGTGTAGGTAGATTCTTGCAGTGTGCTGACCTCCTCACCAAGGTGTCTACCAAATATCTAAAAAGGATTAATAATTTCAGAAGAAATTCTGTTGGACCAGACCAAAAGGGTTAATCCATAAAAGCCTGGAAAAAGAAACTTTTCTTTTATTACACTAGCAGAGTATTTGTTAATTTTAACGTTCCTGAGTTGTATAGTGTGCAGAAATTTCCCTGTTGTGGCCTTTTAGCTGCAGTTTACAGTTTGATATAGGGGTCTGGCAGTACTTTGTGAGGTTTTGAGAGCACTAATGCCTTTCAGGATAGCATTGTAAGCTTTTCATTTAAAGTTTGCAGACAGTATCAAACAACAGCAAGTATAACATTATTTCTGGTCTCTTACTGATATGTTACAGAAGTTGGAGATCATCTGGTGTTAACAAGTCCAACTGGAAGCAGTGACTACCTTGAAATACCTGATTCTCCTGAACCTGAACGGTCACATGATTTGGGAGTGGGATCTGTGGTAGAGGTTACCGTAAGTGGAGAACCACGTTATGGAGTGATTCGTTGGATTGGAATTGTACCTGAAGACAAGAAAGCACGGAAAGTTGCTGGAATAGAGATGGTTGGTCGAAAATATTTTCTTTAAATGCACGTAGAATTTTTAACCACTATTTACAGGTTTAAAATGTGCCATATGATGTTGAATGTGATTTACAGAGAAACCTGTGTTTTCTGAGTAAGTAGATTAGCTTGGTGGTAACTTACATTGCTGGCAGTCTATTAGTATCTTGTTAATATTCTAGTGATTTTACTCATTTCCTTCAAGTAAGTGATAGGACAATACATTAAATATGCCACACAAACTTTCTCCATCTCATCGTACATTATTATCTGAGATCATTTTCAGAGATTTAGTACCATGTAGGTCTTATTAAATTATCTTGAAATTTTATTATATTGTGCATTGCTTCATATTTTTATACAACATTTTTAGGCATGCTTATGACCTGTTTCCCACCAAAATTGGACTGGCCTGGCTCCAACTGATCATTAAAGGGACAGTAAAAAGTAAATCCGTCCCATGACATCAAATGTTGGCACTTATGGGAGGGGTGGTATAGCTCCTACTCATTCTCATCCTTGGCACTAGAAGGGGGTGAGTGGTCAGCAGCACACCCTGGCCACGCTTTACCCCAGGAAAGGACCCCAGTGCCCATTGGACAGGAGGTTGGGTGGGCCCCAGAACTTGTCTGGATGTAGAGGCTACAATAAACTCCTCTGCCTCTGTCAGGGATTGAAACCTGATTGCCCAGCCTGTTCCCATTCACTATACTGACTGAGCTTCTAGGTTACATTAAAATGAAAGTAGGTGCCATAAATTCTTTTCAAACTATCTTGTAGCAGGTGTAGTTGTATATTGACTTGCATGCAGTCTTTAAGTTTTATGTTTGAATGTAACATTCTTATTTGTTTCATTCTCTTGCATCGTGAACAAAATATGACTTTGACTATTGTTCCAGGAGGAAGAACACTTTGGCTACAATGATGGCACTTTTAATGGGCGCAGATATTTCCAGTGTAGTCCAAGGAAGGCCATGTTTGTCAGCCTTAATATGTGTCAAAAGGATGGCAGGTTTCAAGATGTCCATCCTGTACTGAATGACACAAAAATAAAAAGTAACTGAAAATATTTTATAATTTAAGATTGTGCTTCCATATTGGTGTTTGGGGCATATATCAGTTGTATCATTATCTGCTGACTGTAGATGAGGGCTACTGTTGTGTCTGAAATTTCAGTTCATACATGAGTGTTACAATGCAGTTATTCATAATATATGCAACAATAGTTGCTACATTGCCTTGTGTTACATTCTTTACATTTATATTGTTTCAGTTAGTTTGGCATAACAGTCCTTATTATCTGTCTGGATTTGTTCTTTTCTGCCTTGTTTCTTCATTTTTGATGTTTATTCTTAGTAATATTTAAATAAAATAACTTTGATATTTATAATTTTTGCGTTCTCTGTGGCAGCATGTGTG